AGGGGGGGAAAGTAAAGAGAGTATATTTTTTAACCAAAGCTCTTTTAAGGGTGGGGAAGCATGGGTGAAGAATGTTTTCAGCAAGGAAAGGGTGGAGGCCCCGTGGAGGTCAAGTCCTTTAGGGCAATGTGTGGGTGAATATAATGCAAATTCCCTAGTTTGGAATTTTGGAGGAGGTGCGGGGTTAAACCCAAAACTGTTGTCCAGAGGGCTGAGGAAGGGTTGTTGAGGTGGTTCGGACATATAGAGAGAATGGAGCGAAACAGAGTGACTTCAAGAGTGTATCAGTCTGTAGTGGAAGGAATGTGGGGTAGGGGTCGGCCTAGGAAAGGTTGGAGGGAGGGGGTCAAGGAGGTTTTGTGTGCGAGGGGCTTGGACTTCCAGCAGGCATGTGTGAGCGTGTTTGATAGGAGTGAATGGAGACAAATGGTTTTTAATACTTGACGTGCTGTTGGAGTGTGAGCAAAGTAACATTTATGAAGGGGTTCAGGGAAACCGGCAGGCCGGACTTGAGTCCTGAAGATGGGAAGTACAGTGCCTGCACTTTGAAGGAGGGGTGTTAATGTTGCAGTTTAAAAACTGTAGTGTAAAGCACCCTTCTGGCAAGACAGTGATGGAGTGAATGATGGTGAAAGTTTTTCTTTTTCGGGCCACCCTGCCTTGGTGGGTTTCGGCCAGTGTGATAATAAAATAATAATAAAAAATTAAGTTGGATAATCTGTTCTCATAATACAATTTTTTAGCCCTTCTTATCAGGCTGGTTAGGATTGATGAGTAACATTTTGTTAGGTCTCTGGTTATGTGACCCATTCTGTACTGTTTTTCATATTGGTGCTTTGTATTTATGGATTTGAGGATACTGGTGTTAGCCAGGGACTGTTCAGTCTCTTAGCTGTCATCTGTTTAGCGTTTTTTAGGGCAGTGCTTGTTATAGAGGTATTGGGTCTTTTTTAGAAAATTATTAATACATTCGTCAATATCTGTATAGATTTCTAGCTCAGTGTGCCAGTCAGTGTTTGTCACTGCTGTTGTGAAGTTATTAATGGCTGCCTCATTGTGAAGTCTGAAAGTGACTTTAGTAGTGTCTTGGGGTAATTTGCCTAGATTAGTTATGAGGAAGGCAGGGTAGTGGTCTGTGGTATTATCTGTGATTATGCCTGATTTTAAAGGGGATATGGTGTTGGTCGAGATGTGGTCTAGTAAAAAAACACTAGTCTCTGTAATTCTTGTAGATTTTGTTACTGTTGGAAGCAACAAGCAGTTACTCGTAGTGTTTGTGAATTCAGAAACATGTGGGTCCTGGCCTTGCAGGAGATTTATATTGAAGTCACCTGAGAGTAGTAAGTGATCTTTATTCATGCGTGCATCAGTTATCATACTTCCTAGGTTTTCACTAAAACGGCTAATGTTTGACTGTGGTACTCTGTAGATGTTTATCACTGTGACAGGTTTTTGTAGGCTTTTGGATATGAATTTAGCTATTATATATTCCTCATGTTCATCCCTTGTGCAAGTATTAGTGATACATTCTAGTTGGTCTGAGTAGTATACAGCTGTGCCACCCCCTTGTTGATCTGGCCTACAGTTGTGTATGGCTGTGTAACCAGGAATGGCATAGACATCTGCAGTATCAGGTTTTAGCCAGGTTTTGGTGAGAGTAATGATGGACATACTGGCATGCAGGGAATTTAGTAATGCTATGAGGTCATTGTAATATTTGCTTAAAGATCTGTTATTGTAGTTAAAGACAGTTATGTTGTTGTTGGCTCTGAGAAGTGCCTTTGATTGTTCTGCTGTGTAGTAATTACAGTTACTGTTTGATTCATTTAAGTCATTCAATAAGAGGTTGGTATCAGGATCAATGCTTGTAATCATAAGATTTATAGTGAATCTATGGTTAGAGTTAAGTATAAGACAAAGTAAATATTCAAAGGTAAAAAATAGCACATGAATTATTTTAACATGTGTAAAAAATATGAGCTAAGGTAGTTTTTTAAAGCTAAATAAATAAATAAATAAATAAATAAGATAAAGGAGACAATATAAAAGGGACTAAAATAATCTGTGGTGAGCAAATAAAGTGGTGATCAAATAAAGGAGCTTGGGAATATAATTGTAGGTAGTTCTTTAAAGGTAGTTCTTTAAATTTAAAATAAAGGAGACAATATAAAAGGGACCAATATAAGTTGTGGTGAACAAATAAAGTGGTAATCAAATAAATGAGCTTGGGAATATAATGGCAAAATAGTGAACTTATTACTTTTTAGCACCTGAGAATAGCACCTTGATTATTTTAACAATTGCGAATATATGAACTAAGGTAGTTATATAATAAAATATAGGAGAAAATATATAAGGGACTAAATTAAGTAATTGTAAACAAAGTTAAATGGACAGATAGTCACTATGATATAATATTAATTTGGTGGTAAGATCTGATTTGTAATATATAATAAGTTGAGCAATTAATTGCAAAATAAAAAGTAAAAAAATATGAGGTAGTAGGTGCTAGCTAACAAAAGATAGTTTTGGGACTCACACAATAATGTAATTGGAATATACACTAATTGCACACACAATATAAAAGGGACTAAAAAAAGTAGTGGTAAACAAAATTAAATGGACAGGTAGCAACCATGAATAACATTAATTTGGAGTAAGATTTGACTTGCAACACAAAATTATGAGCAATTAATAGCAATTAAAAAGAAGTACAAAGTATATGAGGTAGCTGGTATTAGCTAGTAAAAGAAAAAAAAATAATAATGCACAATAATGTAATACAGTGGACCCCTGGTTCGCAATACTAATCCGTTCCTGAGAGCTCATCGTAAACCAAAAATATCGGAAAGCGAATCAATTTTCCCCATAAGAAATAATGGAAATCAAATTAATCCGTGCAAGACACCCAAAAGTATGAAAAAAAAAAATTTTACCACATGAAATATTAAGTTTAATGCAATAGAATAGTAATTACAATAACAACAACAATAAATAACAAGAATAATTGACACTTACCTTTAATGAAGATCTGGTGATGATTGATGGGATGGGAGGAGGGGAGTGTGGATGGTGTTAGCATTTAGAAGGGGAATCCCCCTCCATTAGGACTTGAGGTAGCAAGTCCTTTTCCGGGGTTACTTCCCTTCTTTTAATGCCACTAGGACCAGGTTGAGAGTCACTGGACCTCTGTCGCACAACATAACTGGCAGCCTCACCATGCCTAATCACACTATGTATACCACTATGATTCTTAAATCTTTCAAACCAACCTTTGCTGGCCTTAAATTCACTCACATCACCACTAGTTGCAGGCAATTTTTTTACCAAATCGTCATGCAACTGCCTAGCCTTTTCACAAGTGATTGCTTGAGAGATGCTATCTCCTGCTATCTGTTTTTCATTTATCCACACCAATAACAGTCTCTCAACATTTTCTAACACTTGTGGTCGCTGTTTCGTAATCACAGTTGCACCTTTTGCAAGAACAGCTTCCTTGATTGCCGTTTTCTTGCTCACTATAGTAGAGATGGTTGATTGGGGTTTACTATACAACCTGACCAGCTCCGACACACGCACTCCACTTTCGTACTTTGCAATTATCTCTTTCTTCATTTCAAGTCATTAGCACCCTTGGTCTCGAAGGGTTGGCACTGGGAGCTTTCTTGGGGCCCATGGTGACTTATTTTGCAAAAACAGGCACCAAAAACAGTGATAATATGGATAATATGGAATGTACCGAATGTATACTTAGATGCGCGCACACTGGCTGGCTTGTAAACACTGGCACACACGGGGCAGTTCAGGCCACACATGGACACGTCTCGTACGAACCACATTGCATACCGGGTTTTGTATTGGGAAGCGAGGCAAATTTTCTGCGATATAATGCATCGGTTACCGGATTTATCGGATACCGATAGCATCGCAAACCGGGGGTCCACTGTAGTAACGTACACTATATGCACCACACGTATATATGTGTTAAGGACACTTATCTAGTCTGTTACAGAAATGTCAGCTTTTCTAAGGAAGGTAGAGAAATCATGTTCATTTGAGATGGTATATTGTTGTCCTGTTGATGTTTTCCTTACTAGTATTTTCCCATCTCGAGTGAAACACTGATGTATTTTGTTTTCCTGTTTAAGTTCTTTGTACTTTCTCTAATTTCTTGACGTGCTTGACCAGGTGTGGGTTCCAAACTGGTGCTGCATACTCCAGTATGAGCATGATGTACACAGTGTACAGTGTCTTGAACGATTCCTTACTAAGGTATCAGAACGCTGTTCTCAGGTTTGCCAGGCACCCATATGCTGCAGCAGTTATCTGGTTGATGTGTGTCTCTGGAGCCGTATGTTAACGTGACCATTGTCAACATGACCAGGGACCCAACAAAAAACAATATCTTTGTGCTTGCTAGAGATACAGCATAACCAAAGTTGGATATGAAGAACCAGGAGATGAGGTGTATCAAATTTTTGTATAGCCTGTAAAGCACTTAAGGGAGTCTGAAACGACCACAAATGATGACACAGGCATAGATGCAATACAGACAAGTGCTACAAGAATGGCATACAATTCAGCCATAAAAATGCTAGCCGAGGATAATAAATGCCCTCGCACGATGCTGTCTGGAAGCACTGCTGCGAATCCAACACTGTCAGAAGACTTGGAACCATCGGTGTACGCTGCGATGGCATGAGAATGATATCGGAAGTAGTTCAGAAAAAGAGAGCGAGAAGCCACTGTAGGCAGTTGGGCATTCATGGCAGTGGGAAAGAAGAGACGTGAACCATTGGAACTTCCCAAGGGGATAGGGAAAAGTGAGATGCTACATGAATATAGAAAGGTGGTAACTGAAGAGAAAACAAGATATATACATGTACAGTAAAAAAAAACCATTAAAACTACATTTTATATGTGCAGTTACAGTGTCATATTATATATTAACTAAATTTGTTCATGTATTAGGAGCATTTATTATAAACTTTTAATTTCAGTTGGGGGTATTCTGTCTCCAGGTGGTCATGATCTCTCCATAGATGAAGGCATCGACTCAGATGATGAATCAGAGAATGAACACTATGATTCTGAGTCAGATAATGGTAAAGTTTTAGTATATTTATCATTGTTTTTATTCATTCTTTTTAGACTGGTTGGCTCAATTGCCTTGTTGGAAAAATTCTTTAGTATAATCCCATACAGCATCATTCACACTGCATCCCACCAAATACACTACCATCCGACTTACGACCTGCTCGACTTACAACCACTCGACTTACGACCGTGTTTTTTATGCCAAATTTCTGGGAAATAAACAACTATTTGTGTTGTACACAGTGTTTATCCTAAACCTTACAGTATAAAATACAGTACTAACAGCATAAAAAGTAAAGTAAAACATGAAATGCCAAAATAAAATAAAATAAAGTCATTACAAAAATGTTTTGTTGATATTCAGTAGTAAAGTTCGACTTACGACCATTTCGACTTACGACCGGTTTCTCGGAACCGAACTCGGTCATAAGTCGGATGGTAGGTGTACATGAAACAATCTCAGACTTCAGCCAATTTATAGTTATTTTATTACCTTCATTAATGTAATTAATGAGGGATATAATATTTCCCTCAGTAATATAATATTTAATAAAAAAAAATCTGTCATGTATGCTTGTTACAGGATATTGTCATCCTCATCAGGTCTTAATGCAAAGGTTAGGGTATGCACATGTTAGGGTATCCAGAAGAGAGGAACATTATTTTCGATAAAAGCAGATTTAGACAGGGATGTATGATTTCACCATGGTTATTCAACATACTTATACATGGGGTTGTAAAAGAAGTGAATGCCAGGGTATTAGGGAGTGTGGTGAGATTGAAAGATAGTGAATTTGGTATGGAGTAGGAGTTGTCATAGTTGGTTTTTGCTGATGACACTGGTCTTATGGCAGATTCAGGATAGAAGTTGCAAAGGCTGGTAAATAAATTTGGGAGAGTATGTAAAAGAAGGAAATTAAAAGTAATCAGAGGAAAGAGGAGGATGATAAGTATCAGAAAATGGACAGTGAGAGATTGTATATTAGATTCAAGAGAGAGAGAGGGAGTATGAAGTAAATGTGTTTGGGTATTTATGAATGGATATGTCAGTAGATGGTTCTGTGAGAGATAAGGTGGACCATAGAGTTGACTAAAGGAAAAAGGTGGGTGATGCATTGAGGCATCTGCAAAAACAAAGAATTTTCTCTATGGAGGAAAAAAAAAAGAGGGGTAGGGGATGTAGTGGAATATAATAGTCACAACACTGTTGCATGGGTGTGAAGCAGGGGTTCTGAATGTTGCAGTGAGGGAAAAGGCTAGAGGTAGTAGAGATGTCATGCTCGAGGACACTGTATGGTGTGAATATTATGCAGAGAATTCTGAATCTGGAGATCAGGAAGTGTGACATTACCAAAAGTATTATTCAGAGGGCTGAGAAGGGTTGTTGATGTGGTTTGAACATTTAGGAAGGCTGGAGAAAAATAGAATGACTGAAACTGTGTGTAAAATTTGTGGTGGAGGGAAGGAGGGGTGAGGTGGCTTTTATGATTTGACATGATGTTGGAGTGTGAGCTAGGTAACATTTATGAAAGGATTCGGGGAAACCGGTTAACTGAACTTGAGTCCTGGAGTTGACACTTCTGGGACACACTCACAGTGTCCACACACATTGTGTGTGTGTGTCCACCTCCAGGACACACAGACACACAACATATATACCTAGATCTATCATTGTTGAATATACTATTTGACTTCACTACAATCATGATAAAACAAAGTAACCAAACTTTTGTGAGACTATGTACACTACTGTAGGTGTCATAGGTAAAGTATAAACAGTCATAATTAAAAGCATTTACAATTATCACTTGCTCCTCAGACTCAGTAGTGAGTGAAGACACAGGCAGCATCTCAAGCTCTCTGGGAAAAAAGGAAAGATACTTTTGGCAGTACAATGTCCAGGCAAAAGGACCCAAGGGACAACGTGTCAGCATTAACCAACAGCAGCGTGACCCTCACAGTTTGCCGACAATTATGGATCCTGTCTTTTCTCCTCTCTGCTCTATCCAGGGGATCAAACACAGGTATTTCTAATATTATTACTGAGTATAGCATTTGTTACATATATAACACGCTGCACACCAAGTTCATTGTATTTCTGATATATTATGGTGAAATTTTGTCACACATACAGTACAAGATTTTTCACTGGGATCTGAAAAACAAGAGTCACTGAATTTTGAGCTGAAATTTAAAGCTTAGAGATATTAAGATATTACATGGTTATTTATCTAAGGGAAATGCCAAGAAGGTGACATAGTATCATATATTTCCATTTGGGTACTTAGGATGTAGCTCACAACAGCCAGCTAAAAATTAGACTCATTTAGTGCTATGTAAGGAGACTTGCTCATACGTTTTACCCCACCTGGGAATCAAAACCAGGTCCTTGCAGTTTTGAGCCAAACACTAATTACTTAACTACAAGCTGGTAATAATGGTATGGTTTACAGTACTTGTGTTGGGGAAAGGCAGTTCATAGCTTATCTAAGTCTACATAACCAGAAGTGTCACTGTGTCCCAGTGATCATCCACTCACTTTTTGGCAAGATCCAATAATAGTTAATCTTACAATAATATACCGCAAGGAATGCAACATCTAATGGTGGGATGCGATACAAGAAATTTTAAAAGCTATACACATGATAGAACAGATAAAATGCTGTACTAAAGCTGAGACACCACAAATAGGACACCAATTTGACTGGCATTGCTGATTTCTGTATAGAAATCATGTATAGAGTTTGCCCCTACCACTTTCTCATCCAAGTCATTCCACTTTTCAACCGCTCTAAGGCTGAAGTAATGCATTCTTACACCCCTCGTGCTCATCTCTGTCTTCAGCTTCCACCTGTGTCCCCTTGATACTAGTCCTCTTAATTCAAACAATCTGTCCCTATCTGCCCCATCAATTCCTTATAAGATATTGTATATCGTAATCATGTTTCCGCTTGCCCTTCTCTCTGCTAATGTAACAATATATATTTATAGTAAAAAAAAATTACCTTTAGTTCAGTTGTAGAGCATCTGGCACACAGCCGAACCTACTACTTGTCTGATTCTCAGCTGGATGAAAAGCACAACATGGCGGCCAAGTCTTACACCAGCTGTCCCTGTTCACCTAGCAGTAAATATTGCACTGAGTTTTTGGGTGTTAGTCAACTGTTAGGAGCTACATCCTTGGGTGGCATTATACAGCACCATAAATAGGGCTCACCTCAGCTGTTAGCCTGTAAAGTATTAAAAAGTAAACGTATTACTTTCAATTTGTTTTTCATTACAGTTCAGTACTTTACTATAAATAGGTGGTGAGAAATTTTATATCTTCACAATGTCATTTGCTTGAATGTGAAGAAACAAAATATATTTAGTTATAGCTATCTGGTGTTTAAAATGGTACTGACCTTATATGATTAGATATTGTGTATTCTTCTATTCTCATAATACAACAGTAACAACATTTACTATCATAAGATTAAGCATTCTTACATCACACTGCATTGTCACCAGCTTATCTCTAACCCACAGTGGAAAGGCCCGTAGGGGTGATGGGAATGACCTGACCCCCAATCCTCGTAAATTAGTCAACATTGGCCGTGAACTTGAGAAACTCAATAAGGTATGTAAGAAATGTACAGTTTAATCATAATGAGACTACACTTTTCTTCACTCAAAAGGAATATAAATCTCCACCATTGTGCGTAATAATAACTGAATGATTATTCTTTACAGACAATCAATGATATGACTCCAGTGTCTGAACTCCCATTCAACGTGAGGCCTAAATCACGAAAGGAGAAAAATAAACTGGCATCACGGTAGGATTTTCTGTTTTTTTTTTTTATGGTTTGCATCCTCTTCTGTTCTATATAATACAGCCTCTCCTCACTTAGCGACGTACTCGTTTACCAACGACTCGGACGTATGACGGGCTCTCTGACCAGTATGCATACCTAAATAATGTACGTATATTACAGCTGAATTCCTCTATTCTGTTTATTACAATATACAGTACACTACTATATGAACATTTAAAAATATGCCAGAAATGTTACAAATGGTGCAAAGGTGACATTAAAATAATATCAAAGATGGTTGACACAAACCCACCACCATTATAGTATGCTCCTCACCTAGTGACGAATTCATTTACCGACATGGTCTTAGGAACGGAACTCCATCGTTAATTGAGGAGAGGCTGTATACAGTGAAAAGTAGCAATAAATCGCTGTGTATTTAGTAGGTGTAACTATTTAAACTACAGGTCTCCCTCCATGTTCGCAAGTTCCACTTTCGTGGGCTTCGAACATTCGCAAATGCCCAGCCGCCCAATCATATTTAAAATATGTCATTACATATGTTAGGAATTGTGGTGGTGGCAGAGTTTGTTTGTAGATAGGACAAGATAATCCTTCAATATGGCAATAATATCAACTCTACGGCTTATTTATCTATCACAATTCATCTAATACTGTATGACGTAATAAACAATATTAATAACATAGAAACATGACATATACTCTAGAATGAATAAAATATGTCATTAACCCCGTAAACGGTCCAAACGTATATATACGTTTTTTCAACATTTGAAAGTATGTAAAAAAAGTAGATCTTCTTTTTGTTTTTTTACATTTGAAAATGTGTAAAAAACTTTGATCTACTTTTTTTTTGTTATATTTGAAAATATGTAAAAAAACGTAGATCTACTTTTGTAGCACTACACATGTGAACGTAGATCTGCTTGGACCGTTTACGGGTTAAGTATGTCACGAGTGTTGTTGCATTGTTGTTGTTGTTGTTGTTGGGTGTATAAGGGCCACTGAGAGCATAAGCCTTACATGGTGGTGGAGGCGGCAGCAGAGGCGGTAGAGACGGCGGTGTTGTCAGTTGCCTTATATAACTCCAACAACATTGGAGGAGTTAGGTTTGTGCTGTCCTTTTTCTATCGATTAATCGCTTAACTTACTTGCTACACTGTTAATGGTACACTTTAACGCTGGCTGGCCTTTATCAACTCATGCTGCTTTAGTATCATACATATCATAAAATCACTGAAGAAGGCACATTCTCCCCTCTTCTTCCTCCTCCACTTTGGTACTCTGCAATGAGTTCTTTCTTGAATTCTATAGTCTTTTTTCACCTTCTTTATCAAAAGGCTGGCATTAGTACAATATTTTATGATGTTTTCATGTGTTTTATGATTGTCCGTGGTTCAATAGGTTAAGGAAGCAGTATTATTAGGCTAAGTAAATGCTATTATTATATTTCCCTACAATATAATTGTGCACCAAACATTCACTATTTTTCAACATTCGCAAGGTTCTTGATCCCCTAATCCTCGCAAATGTGGAGGGAGACCTGTACTGTATTATTATTAATATTGTTATTACATATTACTATTTTTGTAATATGTAATAAAAAGGTCTCCCACCAAGGTAGGGTGACCCAAAAAAATAGAAACATTGATCATCATTCATTTAATATTTCTGACCTGCCAGAAGTGCAAAGATCACAATCTCAAATTGTTTTCTAAATTTTAACATCCCCAGCCCTCCTTTAAAGTGTAGGTGCTGCACTTCCCACCTCCAAGACTCCTGCTTGTTAACAGGTTTACCAAAATCATTCCTGTTAACAGGTTTACCAAATTCAGTCCTCTTAACAGGTTTACCAGAATCCCATAATAAATTTTATCTTGTTCCCACTCCAACAGCAAGTCAAACACTAAAACCATTTGTCTCCACTTGCTCTGATCTAAGATGCTAACATATTCCTGCTGGATGCCCAAGCCCCTTTCTTGCTAACTCTTCCTTGAATGACCCCTACCCCTCCATCCTTACACCCTTGATTTATACACCATTTGTCTTCCTGTTCTACTCCATCCTTTAAATTGCCAAACCACCTCTTCAACCCCTCCTCCCTATGCTTTTGTAGCCCCCACACCATCTTCTAATTTACGTGCTCCTGATTCTGTATAATATTCACACCACACATTCTCTCAAACATGTCGCCTCCACTTCCTCCAGCCTTCTCTTCTCTGCAATGTATAAAGACCATGTTCACCTATATTTCCTCACCTACATGTGGTTGCAGGGGTCAAGTCCTAGCTCCTGGCCCTGAACTTACTGCTTGCCAGATTCAACTTCATCTTAGCTTCGTGGGCCCTATCGTATGCGACTTTAAAACTGCTGTATACGTGGAACCTGCCTCTGCCACTTCTTCGTGACCTATCTTCCTGACCACCATGAGACCAAATATTTCCTCTGACATCACTAACTTGCCTATGTCTAACATCCAACTGTGCCTTTGAGTACCTGTTTCCCACTTCTCAGTCTATCTTATCAATTCCTCCGAGTATTTTGTATGCTTTTCATCATGTCTCACCTGGTTCTTCTGTCTTCCAATGTTGCATTCATTCAGTTAGCTTTTCCTCATAGTTCATACCCCATAGCTCTGGAACTAGTTTCGTTCCATACCCTGCACTTTTTTATTTTTTTATGCTTTTTCAAGTGTGGTTTCCATTCTGGTGCTGCATACTCCAATATGAGCCTGATGTATGTTGTATTAAGGGCTTGGAATATTCCTGTTGAGATTCCTGAAGGCTACTCTGAGATATGCCAGATGAGCTTCATCTGCCTGCAAAGGTTATTTAGTTGATGTGAACCTCTGGCACTATGCTCACCCATAGGTGGTCTTTCTCTTTGATTGAGGTCTACAGCCTTTGTGGAGTTTTCTGGCCATTTCCCCAATCTTCGTTACCTTACATTTACTAGGGTTGAATTCAGGCACCCACTTTTTTGACCAATCTTCTCACTTGTGTGTATATGTGTCCTCTGAAGTTGCATATCATGTCAAATGAATTAACTGTTGCACAATACATGTCCAGTAGTTTCATTTTGTAGTCTTAATTTTTACTTTTTTTTTCAGAGCTTGTCGTCTAAAGAAAAAAGCCCAACATGAAGCAAACAAGATTAAGCTCTATGGCCTGGAACAAGAGCATAAGGGTTTGATTAGCATGATTGATGAAGCAAGATCATCACTAATAAGAAAAGTGGAGCTGGGAGGAAGTGGTAATCTCTGCAATTATATATCTCCAGTCGGACAACTCCAGTGTTCTCCCAGTACCCCTCCCCAGAACCCACAGACACACATATCACAGCACCTGGAAAAGCTTGTCAAGATTAGAAACAGTAAGTACTAGACTTTTCTCAGGTGCAGAGTACCTAGGGAATGGGAAGCATTCAGGTTTGCTCTAGAGAAGGAGAGACTTTCTCCAATTCCTTTGATCCAGAGACCACTATCAAGACACTCCCCCCTCCATCAGTTAAGGTTAGCTAAAAAGGATGAAGTGGATTTATTTTGTTAGTGTAATGGTAGAGTAAGTACATGAGTTTTTGTGTAGAGTCATCCCTACAGATTCATAAGGGATTACGTTGCTAGAGGTTTAGTGAAACCTAAAATTTCAAATTACACAAAATTATGTGTGTGTAAATAATTTTGTACCAGATTATATAGTAAACTCTCAATAAAATGAACTAATGCGGGAAAAGAGGTGTCCACTTTATTGAAAATCCATTTCAGTATATTGAAAGCTTTGAGCTCAATTGCTCAGAACTACTAAACACCTCAAATGATGTAGTTGAAATTTTGGCATTAAAGACTGAAAGCCAAAATCTTGTCATTGTGGTTGTATACAAGCCTCCAAATGCAACTCCACAGCAATTCCAGGAACAGCTTTTTAAAATTGACCATTATCTGGAAAATCTCCCAACTCCTGCCCCAAACATCTTGCTACTGGGAGATTTCAACTTGAGACACCTAAAATGGAAGTGTGTAGCAAATAATATTTTAGCCATAAAGGATATTGAAAAAAAAACAAAATACTTCTTCTCTTATGCCAAATCTAAGGGAAAACAACATCCAGCATTGGACCCCTGCTTAGGCAAGATGGGACATGCACAGATGACAGCAAAGAAATGAGTGAGATACTTAAGTCCCAATACAACTCAATGTTCAGTGAGCCATTACCCAGACTAAGGGTCAACATTCTAAATGAATTCTTTATGAACGAGACCCAAAATTTGGTCATCTCAAAAATCTCTGATATTATCCTAACACCCCAAGACTTTGAAAAGGCAATAAATGGCATGCCCATGCACTCTGCCCCAGGTCCAGACTCATGGAACTCCGTGTTCATCAAGAACTGCAAGAAGCCCCTGTCATGTGCCTTCAGCATTCTATGGAGAGGGAGCATGGACACAGAGATCATCCCTCATTCACTAAAAACAACAGATAACCCCACTCTACAAGGGTGACAGTAAAGCAATTGCCAAGAACTACAGATTGATAGCACTAACATCCAATATCATAAAAATCTTTGAATGGGTTTTAAGAAGCAAGATTGCCAACCACCTAGATACCCATCAATTACACAACCCAGGGCAACACGAGTTTAGAGCAGGTTGCTCCTGCCTGTCCCAGCTACTGGACCACTACGATAAGGTCCTGGATGCTATAGAGGATAAAAATGCAGAGGTAGTATACATAGACTTTGCAAAAGCCTTCAGCACGTGTGACCACGGTGAAATAACGCACAAAATGCACGATAAAGGAATGACAGGAAAAGTTGATAGATGGAGCTGTATCTTCCTAACAAATAGAACACAGTGAAAAGCTCTGTTCCACAAGGCACAGTACTTGCTCCCATCCTATTTCCCATCCTCATATCTGACAAGCAGATGTAAGCCATAGCTCTGTGTCGTCCTTTGTGGATGACACCCGAATTGCCATGACAGTGTCCTCCATCAAAGAGACAGCAAGACTCCAAGCAGACATCAACCAAATCTTCAAATGGGCCACTTAGAACAATATGAAGTTCAGTGAAGAGAAATTTCATCTACTCAGATATGGAAAACTTTAAAGAAATTAAAACTGTATCAGGGTATACAACAAATTCTAACCATACAGCAAAAAAAGTAATGTGAAGGACCTGGGAGTGATAATGTCAGAGGATCTCGCCTTCAAAGACCACAACAATGTATCTACCACATCTGCCAAGAAAATGATAGGATGGATAATGAGAGCCTTCAAAGCTACGGACACCAAGCCCATAATGATTCTTTTCAAATCGTTTGTTCTCTCTGACCTGGAGTGTGTACAAAGAACTTTGCACACCTCAGTATGATAAGGCACCTAAATTACTGGGAACGGTTGAAGTCCCTCGATTTGTATTCCCTGGAATGCAGGCAAGAGAGATACATGATAATATACACTTCAAAAATCCTAGAGGGATTAGTACCAAACTTGCACACGAAAATCACTCCCTACAAAAGCAAAAGACTTAGCAGGAGATGCAACATTTCCCCAATGAAAAGCAGGGGTGCCACGAGTACTCTGAGAGACAACTAAATAAAAGTCAGGGGCCCAAGACTGTTAAACTGCCTCCAGCACACATAAGGGGGATTACCAGTAGACCCCTGGCTGTCTTCAGGAAGGCACTGGACAGGCACCTCAAGTCAGTACCTGACCAGCCGGGCTGTGGTTTGTACGTCAGTTCCCATGCAGCCAGTAGTAACAGCCTGGTTGATCAGACCCTGATCCACCACGAGGCCTGGTCTCAGGCTGGGCCGCAGGAGCGTTGACTCCTGAAATCCTCTCAAGGTATACTCCAGGTATATATTCTGCTTTATCGATTGACTACTGGCCATGGACAAATACCCAATAAAAGACTTACTCAGCTGTATTGATGGACTACTGGGCATACTAAGAATAAACTACAGTACAGTACAGTATTATCTTACCTGAATCTGAAAAGAAAATTAATTACTTACAAGTGCATCACAGTACAATACAGTAGATTACAGCACAATGTACAAATAGATTACAGATGTACAATATTCTCATGTGGTCTAGGGGTAACCCAGAATAACTTATTCTGATTCAGTGGAGCTGCAAAACTCCACCAGTAACATTGCAAATGGTGTGGGAGACATACAGGTAGATGACTAGCATCTATATTGTACTTCATAGCATTTCCTGTAAGTTTTTGCTTGCTTTTATGACTGTTACACTGTTTGGTACACCATACTCCTCACACACCTGGGTCACTGAAATGCAAGTCTCCAGATTCCTTTTAATTCAAGTCTCTTCTTAACAGTTAAGGTCATATGCTGCTTCTTGGCACCATCACTTGCTTTAGAGACCATTGTTAATAGCACTGTACTTTAACAAAAAAAAAAATTATTTTTTATTAACAGATCAGCCGTTTCCCTACCAAGACAGGGTGGCCCAAAAAAGAAAAACTTCATCATTCACTCCATCACTATTTTGCCAGAGGCATGTTTACACTACAGTCATAAAACTGCAACATTAACACTCTTCCTTCAAAATGCAGGCACTGTACTGCCCATCTTTAGGACTCAAGTCCGGCCTGACAGTTTCCCTGAATCCCTTCAGAAATGTTATCTTTCCCACAATCGAACAGCACGTCGAATCCTAAAAACTATTTGTCCCCATTCGCTCCTATCTAACATGCTCACACATGCTTGCTGGAAGTCCAAGCCTCTTGCACATAAAATCTCCTTTACCCCCTCCCTCCAACCTTTCCTAGGCTGACACCTACCCTTCCTTCCCTCCGCTACAGATTTATACACTCTCAAAGTCATTCTATTTCGTTCCAGCCTCTCTACATGTCCGAACCACCTCAATAACCCCTCCTCAGTCCTTTAGATAACAGTTTTGGTAATCCCGCACTTCCTCCTAATCTCCAAAATTATTAAAAACAATGTAACTTGGAGGAAACTGGAGACAAAATGATGGTGTGAGCATGCATGCAGATAATAACAAATTGATGTGGGCTGAGTCACTGGCCCTGCTGCCCAGGAGCAATGAAAATGGATGTGTCCAGGACAAACCCCAGACCATACAAACTTTCAGTTAAGCAGAGTTGGTCCTTTTCATTGAGCGCACAACCGGACTGAACAGATACAGTGGACCCCCGCATAACGATCACCTCCGAATGCGACCAATTATGTAAGTGTATTTATGTAAGCGCGTTTGTACGTGTATGTTTGGGGCTCTGAAATGGACTAATCTACTTCACAATATTCCTTATGGGAACAAATTCGGTCAGTGAAAAAATATCGTTAACCGGGGGGTCCACTGTATTTGATATAGTGGATTTGATCCACTTCATGACTTAATTGGATGCCTAATTGAACCTACATGTTAAACCTTTATCTGGTCAGATTTTTTGTCTGATTTAATCGATATCTGTTTTATGGAGGTCCATTTATTTAGAGTTTACTGTATTTCACTTTTGGTTTCAGCAACACATATCTCTGAAACATTGCTGTATGTCACTACTGAGCCATTGAGTACAATTTCAATGAAAGCTTATGGTTAGTTTTCAGTTTTGAGATTTGTGAAATACAAGAATAATTGGGTACTGTCAGAAAATCAGTGAATAATAATAACTATTTCCGAGTTGCTGACTGGTAAAAATGTTGGTTAATTGAAATTAGCAAACAAAGAAGCCTGTAAATTTGCAGAGATAACACTGTAGATTCCAGTTAGCCAGACTTGAGTCATGGAGGTGGGAAGTACAGTGCCTGCACTCTAAAGGAGGGGTGGGAATCGGCCGGTGTGATAATAAAAAAAAAAAAAATAATGCCCCTCTGGCGAGAAAGTGATGGAGTGAATGATGGTGAAAGTGTTTCTTCTTCTTTGGGTCACCCTACCTCGGTGGTAGATGGCCAGTTTGTTGAAAAGAAAAGGTGTAGATGCATTTCATTAAAATCTTCATTTGGTATTTTTCTTACAGTTTTATTTTGAGAAAGTCAGATGCAACAGTCTTTCTTTTTATGCTTACAGAGCACAGGATTGCTGGCCACACGACAGAATTTGTCAACCGAGTTATCGAGAACTGTCAAAATGGAGACTCAAATGGCGGCTTAAAGGAAATCACCGAAGCATTTAACAACAACTATCTGGCAGTCAGTCCGCCATCTGGTGTCAGCATTGGTGGTTTTTCACCTCACTGAAAGCTTCCCAACCTCATGGAGAAATTTGGCATGTTGCAGTAAAAGGTGCTGATTAATACCCTTCAATCTGGCACCTTCATGAAAGAGCAAAGATATCCCAGACTTTAAAATATAGTACTTTATAATTTATCATTAACCCATGACTCTTCGTTGTTCAAGATAGCTTAGAGATGCACCAGATGCAGTTCTTCACAGGGAAACTGTGAATCATCTTGTACAATACTCCTTAGCCATACTTATAGCACTTCCAGTGGCTTATAAGCATACACAGAATAGCGTTCTGTGGAAAACAAGATCATGAACTAAAATCAAGCAAAAATTAACCTTTTTCTTACCCGGAGACGTTGCGCACCATCAATAGGTGGTGATAAGGTAAGACTAGGCATGCTCTATTAGAAGAAGATAGGGTTAGCCAAGCTTAGCTTTCCCGCATGAGACATAGGCTGTGACAGTCAGAGGAATGATTGAATTGCTACAAAATATGGAATGTATGTTTGTTGTTAGTTTTAGGCACATATAGTATATATCCAATGGGCAGTATATTACTCAAAATTTTATTTTTGTTGATTGCAGTTATATTTTTTGATACTGACAGTTTTGTGATACTGACAGCACTAAAAGGAAGAGTAAAACAATCGTCAATTTTATTTGACGATTGTTTTTTATTTTTATTTAGCCCTGCCCTCATTCAGGAGCTGGTGTTTTATTTAGTTATCTGTTCCATTATTTTCAATTTCATCAACATTTCTGATCTTGCTTCCTTACATATTTCTTTCTTGGTTGTTATCCAAGGGTGTAAATGTGGTAGAGCAGACTGAAAGACCAACTCAACCTGACTATACAGTAGATGGGAGTTAAATGATTAATCAAATCTCTTAAATATAGATTAATAGTAGTGCCCTCATAATTTACAGTTGCATGTACATGTTGCTGTTTATCTGGTTATGAATACTTTTTACAAGTACATGTTTCCAGGTAAATTTCACATAAATGGAAAATAAAACAGGTGAAAGAATCTGTATGTTTTCATATCGGAGACTCTTCTTCAGCAGATGAGGGTCTATGAAGCCAAAATATACAGATCCCTTCCACAAGGGATTTTATTTTCTGTCCCACTACATTACATTCAAGGGAGAAGCACTAATTCTATAGGCATCATGCAGCACCTGAGAAATGGGAGGCAATCAGGCTTGATCTAAGAAAAAGGACGATAGATTCAGTTACCTGTCCATTGATCACAATACTTTTATTGTAACTGTTATTTGGATTTACAAGTGTGATTGAATCACTTAATAATCAAGTACCATATATTAAGCTACTGCTCTAGTTTTTCTGATTTTTCAGTTACACCCCTGGTTATATCTAAGCAAATTTTAATATTTTTTTATGTAATGTTATTTTTAATAATATTATTATGACTTCTGATTTTTTGATATTCGTTTTATTTTCAAGGATTTTTCAGAAATCTAGTTAGGATTGTTGTTTGATCTTTGCTATTGAAATGTGGCAAGATAGTCTGTTGCTGAAATGTGAGGAAATTATTGTGTCATGCTTGAAATGCAGTGGCATGTGATATATAAATGCTGATAGATTTATTGTCATTCATGATATTCCTCTTATAAATATACAGACTAGCTGGATTAGTCAGTACTGTCAGATTGTAATTCTTCAAAGTAAATACCAAGAAAATGAATGGACAGCATTTACTTGAAATAAATATATTCTTGTATTTTGAGTTTTTGATCAACATAACACTAAGTTTTAAAAGTGCTTGAGTAATATATACTGCCCTGAGGTCCACCAACGCTTGTTCATTTGGTTAATATTGTTGCCATTGTGGAAATGTTGTGTATTAAAGAGTCAAGTGATAGCAGGAGCTTACTCCTCTTTCATATATTATATACATTATTATTATATACATTTATTTTTGTTGCAGCTTTGGTGTTTTGTTGATATAGGCTACAACCTATTTTTAGTTAAGAAAGACTGGTGGTGTGTAGCATTCCTGCTGGTTGGTATTTATAAGTAATTTTAAGGTAATATTAACTAAGACTTTAAAAATGCAAAAGCAACAGTGTATGTTTATGTGCTAGTAGAGGACTTGCCATATCTCCTTTAATTTGTATTGTTTTCCAAAAAAAAAAAAAAAAAAAAAAAAAAAAAAACTATTTCTCAAATGAATTAATGGAATATAATATTATGCAGTTTGTTCAACAATGTTGACACTGAGCCTGTTGAGCTGTCTGCAAGCTATAAAGGAAACTTATAACAACATATTCATACTAGACTACCTCTACTTTCAATTTCTATTACATTTAGATAGAGATCCACTAAAATAATTGGTTAAGCATATGACAAGAAAATTATAACTTAGATTATAATAATTATTATTACAATTATCTGAGTCATGGGGATGGATAAAACTCAAGGAATACACAGTGCCTGAAGAATGCAATGTAATTAAGTTTGATCCTAGGAAAAAGGAGGGTATCCCCAATTCCTTTGCTCAGTTGTTATTCAATACAAAGTAACTTTCATTCTTGAAGAAATAATGAAAGGACAATATAAATTCAGTGACAGTGCTTCAAACAACCTTGAACTCTGCCAGCCACTAAAAGTTTCTTGGCATAATTCACCTCCTTCAATAAAAATTTAATGTGTTAGTCAGGAAATACATCCCCCTCCCCCTCAGCATTTTCTTACCACAAAGAATAAAAAAAGACAGTACCATGATTGGAACAATACACACATAGGAGATTGAACTTAGGACATCAAAAGTTTCAGTCTCCTGCCTATGGGTTATCTGTGTATTTTCTTACCACATTGACTGTCTCCCACCAAAGCATTTTGGGTGACTAAATGCTAAAGAAAATTGGACCATCCTTGTTACTCCATGGAATCTAGTGTACTTTAAAGAAAAGACACACTTTTGGCAGTCTTACTTTGTTTCATACATTTTGTACTGTATAGTCTTTGCTAGATCAAATTTAGAGTGCTCTAAAGAAATTGACAAAGAGGACTATTTTCTTCTACCAATTTGAGACTTTCTTTTCTTTCTATGCTAGATGGTAAATATATTTGGGAGAGTTTGTAAAAAGGAAATTATAAATAAATATAGGAAAGAGCAAGGAGATGAGAGTAACAAAAAATTTAAGTAAGAAAAGATTGGCTATCAGATTGGAAGGAGGAAGTGAATGTGTTCAGATATTTGATAGCAGACTTGTTGGTGAATGGGTCAATGAAAGATGCGAGCCGTAAAATTGACGAGGGGGAAGAAAGGTGGGTGGTGCACCGAAGCATCTGTGGAGACTAGGAACCTTATCCATGGATGCAAAAATGGGAATTTACTAGAATATAGTGGTATCAACACTCTTATATGGGTGTGAAGCATGGATTTTAAATGTTACAGAGGAGGTACGTATCTGTAATGGGGGAAGGAGACGTAGGGGGTCATCCTAGGAAAAGCTGAAGGGAGGGGGTGTAAAGGAGGTTTTGTATGTGAGGGGATTGAACATCCAACAGGCATGTGTGAGCATGTTAAGAGTGGAGGAAAGTAGTTTTTATGACTTGGCTTGCTGTTGAAATGTGAGCAAGGTAGCACTTATGAAGTTTCAGGGAAACTGGTTAGTCAGACCTGAGTCCTAGAGGTGGAAATATCATGCCTTCATTCTGAAGGAGGGGTGGAGATATTGCAGTTTGGAGGGTCCTCTTAACCTGTAGTGTCAGCACTCCTTGGGCAAACGGTGATGGAGTAAACAATAGTGAACGTTTCTTCGCTTTCGGGTCACCCTACCACGGTGGGACATGGCCAGTGTTAAAAAAAAAAAAATAAAAGATAGTTTTTGCAAGTCACTATACTGTTGTCCATTGGTTTATGAAATAGATGTGTTCCTGGCCCAGTGCACAGAATGAACCCAGTTTAACATAACACTTAACTTTTGTCATTCGTACGGTAACTGTTCCACTGTATTGAATATTTATTGTAAATGTATAAAAAATACACATGCAACATTAGGAAACTTTATTAGGATATGTTTCAGTCACCAGGAATTTTATTAATCCTATAGTTAAAATTGATATACATACTAACTCCTGTGAGCAAAATGTATCCTAATACAAGTTCCCTAATACTGTACATGTCTTATACATTTGTCAGTATATATCTTTTGTGATACATTCATTGTAAAGATAAAAGAAGCTGTCTAGAAATGCACAAAAAAAAAAATAAACATATCTTGTACAAGTTTTCACAAATGCAAGGTTTCACTGTGATGAAAACATTCAGAACTGAATTATCATTCACTTCATGTAAGGTGAAATAATGCACAACATTTACTTAGTCTTTTTGGGTAAGATTTTTTTTATACACATTCAAGGGCAAGTATCTTAAATTCAGTTTTTAAAGTATGCTGTGTATACAGTTTGGTAATAATTCTAATTTACATTTTTCTCATAATTTCATAGTGAATTAAAAGGTCTATAGTTACTCCCCTTAGCATATTATAATTAGCATTACTTTATTTCCCCTTCATATTTCTTGACTAAATACATATCTTAATTATACATTTTATCCATGAGGAAGCACTAAACCCATAGAGGTCATACAATGCCTGGTGAATGGGAGGTCATCAGGTTTAATCCAAGGAAGTGTAGGGTAGGTCCAATTCCTTGAATCAAGAGCTTCTCATCAGCATCAAGGCATCATTTTTTTTTTTTAGTATATTTGCTCATTACTTTTTTTTACCTTAGTGGTCGTCTCCCACCAAGGTAGGGTGACCCAAAGACAAAAACACAATCATCATTCATGCAATTGCTGTCTTTCCAGAACTGTGCTAATCACAATTTAGGTAACTCTCCAAATGCAACAGTGCGACATTATTCCTCGTACTAAACACACTCATGGTGGCTGCTGCTGCTAATGCTGTTGCTACTACTACTACTACTACTACCACCACTCCTATTACTGCTTGCCTCCTCACTTTCTTACTATCCCTACTTAATTTTATTCACTGGAGTGTACCAATGCCAATAAGGACTGTTGATCCTTCCCTCTTCCTTGAATCACACCCAATTACCTCCCAATATTAAAAGCACTGTATGACCTTTATGGGTTTAGCGCTTCACTAGTCCTTAAAGCCTATTGGGTTAATTAGGGGTATATAAGCACCAATTCAAAATACCTGCATTTATGAAATTCAGATATAAAGTTTAAGTAAAGAGAAAATAAAAGTTAATTCCTCTGAGAGCAATTAACTCTTCCAAAAAATTTATAAATACTCTCAATAATAAACTATAATTTAAGAGCTCTGGAACTTGACTGGCAACTGGTACAGATATATCAATAGAAATTGTGTTAAATTTGTAGATACATGCCAACATATATCTTCCACACAGCTCAAATACACACCGACATCTTGACACCTGGGATAGAGGGGGGGAGAGGGGTAACAAAAACACCTTTACAACTCCATGCTGCACAGATGTACATACATATATGTATTCAGTTTTAATTCATCTATGACATGTGCAGATAAATGCTACAGTTTATATAATGCAACATGTTATAGTTATTTACAGCAAAATCGTTACTACTGCAACACAAGGCATAACTCGCAATATTAATTACGACAAAAAGGACGTACAAGTCTTATACGATTACCTCTGAATATCTACCATATACCAGCATTCATAACAGTTTAAAATGGAAAAATAATAATAATGTCACTGAGCTTCTATTTCTGACTTAAGGAATTGGGCAGATTGTTTATAAAGCTTTTCAGCTTTTGTTTTTATATCAGATGTCATGCATAGCAATTACAAAGAAAGCTTTTTGTTTGTCATATGAAATATTTACAGGCATACATTTGGTCATAATTTGTACGAGTTTTGCACTTCAAAATGTGCAAAATAACTTTTTATGCTCTGTTCTTAAGTTATGACATTTTGTGATGTTGACAGTAAGGAGGAACTAGTTTCTCTCTGGCTTGCAATTTATTCATATAAACTTATGAAGTTATATGTAATTTATAGTATTAGCTACCTTGCTAGTTTTCTATACAGGAGGCCCCCAACATACAAACAGTATTACAAACATCCACATAAACACATTACTAACCAGTTTTATTTTTACAACAGCTTGTCTATCTTACCAACATGTGATACTTAGCTATTGTTAACGACAGGTGGCAAAAGGCTTGCAACTTTTTAAGACATTTTCTGATGTCCATTCATAGTTTCAATGACATCAGTGAAAGTCTAAAGAATTTGGAAGTCTTTCCAACTTGCTATGAATTATTTTTCTTACAAGCTAAATTTTTATATAACCATCTTTTGTATATTGAAGAATAGACAGAGCTGAAAAACAAGCATTTATTGCCCTGCACCTGTGTTTTTTGTTTATTGCTGTTAGGACTATGGCTATCCCCCTTCATTTGTAATTTGAAACACCAGGAAGGCAACTCGTTTGCACACTAGCGTTCCCCTGTATCTACTATCTGTGATCTTTGAATTTTGCACATAGAAATTAGTGATACCCCTCCAAGTGTTTAAGACCCTCATTTAACTGGTCATATTGTTTAATTGAAAACACGGAAAACAATGTGATAGTATAAAAAGTAGTTGCAATATATTCAAATATAACTTCAGTATACACTCCTCTCGCCTGCTCCAGCTCACCTCTTTCATATGTCATTCTTTGCACATTTTCCTCATTTTTATTTAATTCACTTCTACAGATTGGCATTCTAGATATATACCAACATAGAGTACACAAAAAAATTATAACCATGCACCACTGTGAATAATATTAGCAATGGGTGCATAAAACATGACTGCCACTCCCTATCTATATGTACCTAGAAATCAATAAATGCCCTTAAAGAAAGGAGTGACACTGTATAACCTTTCATTGAAAGGCCATAGAAAAAATAACTGTACCATTAGGCAGGCTAAAAATAAATGAGATTGTAAATTTTCAAGAAGTATTCAGAATAGCAGCCTTAAGAGCAGCTTAGAATAAAGAAAAGTGGAAATATAAAAAGAAAAAACAGCACATAAAGATACAGTTACTAAAACAAATCTGTGTAAATAGAATAAGATAATTTTTTAAGTTGTTCCAGCAGAAGTAAATTTATTATGATGTAAATATATCAGAGGATTAAGAATAGTAAAGGTTTTATCAAAATAAAAGAATGTATCCAGCTGGATGTTTTACTTACAAATAAATTTTGTCTAGTGCAAGTTGTTCAGTAGCACCGGTAAGATCTCTAAATGTAAATTATTGGCAGAATTGATATAAATACTGTACATGTTTAAGGCAAAGAAATGTTTATGTAGAGTGTCACAGATTAGGAGACCTGGAAATAGCGCAAACAAAACAATTTTAAGAACACCTCATGTCTCTGGAAGTGCAAAATGTATAGCCAAAAGGTTCACAGTTTTAAATTACTAGCATTAACGATTATTTGAAGTACACTGTTGTGGATTTTTTGATGCAGAAGCAATTAGCCAATTGTAGATACAGTGGAATCTCGACTTATGAGTGTCCCAACATATGAGTTTTTCAAGATACGAGCCATCGCTCGGTCGATTTTTTGCTCTAAGTTACGAGCCAACATCCAAATTACAAGCAAGCTTCCCCCGCTTCCCCCTCAACCCACAACCCACACACCTCACTTGTTTATCTATGATTTCATGCTTTAATTCCATGGACATCATCCTCTTTTTCTTCTCAGCACTGTCCTTTGCACTTACTTTCTCAGGACCCTTGGTTAGAAAAAAGAAATTTGGCAAAATAACTGCACAAACTGCAAGGAAAACATGAGAGAAATGCTTCCATGGCAAGGTAAACATTGCACTGAGTTGGCAGCATTCTGAAGCTCCTCATTATTATAATTATTATAATAATTATTATTACTATTATTATTATAAAGTGTAGCATTAAGAGTGTAGCAAGTAAATCACTATTTCTTTACCTTCTCTATGTTTTATGTTTTTATACAATACTTCTTATTTATAAATACATTGTTTCAGTGTTTTCCTTATGAAACTAGTGATCTAGTGCAGTTAGCCTCACAAACACTCCGTTTTCTCTTATAATAAGAGCATGGGAAGATATGGTCAGAGCGGGAGCGGGAATGGCCGCTACCACTAGTCACATACTGTAATGACATTTTATTCATTCTAGAGTATATATCATGTTTCTATGTTATTTATATTGTTTATTATGTTATATTGGATGAATTGTGATAGATAAATAATCTGTAGAGTTGATATTAGCATCATACTGAAGTATTTTGTCCTACCTCCCAAGAGCAGGAATTCTACTGGAATGGATTAACCCGTAAACGGTCCAAACATATACACTGTATATACGTTTTTTCAACATTTGAAAGTATGTAAAAAAAAGTAGATCTTCTTTTTGTTTTTCTACATTTGAAAATGTGTAAAAAACTTTGATCAACTTTATTTTTTTTTGTTATATTTGAAAATATGTAAAAAAAACTTTGATCTACTTTTGTAGCACTACACATGTGAACATAGATCTGCTTGGACCGTTTACGGGTTAATGGCATTTCAGTTAATTTAAATGAGGAAAATTGATTTGATATATGAGCAAATTGAGTTATGAGCTAGGTCATGAAATGGATTAAATTTGTAAGTCGAGGTTCCACTGTACTTTAACAATAGGAAATTATGAAACAAATGGAGGAATGCCCATTAATAATAATATCAAATTAAGCACTAAACACAAATGGGTCAGGAGTACCTATACAGATTTGTCAGGTAATTAAAAATCATGGTGAAAATGTTTTACTGTCGTGGACAAATAAGTAAAGTTCAACAGTAAAACTTGCTATTTATATTTCTGAATGATTACAAAGACAAAAGTTGATTACTTAACAAAATATATATGAGCATTCAGGTCAACAAAGTGAATAATAAACTTTAATTAGCAATTGTACTACTCTAAATGTTCTGAAATGAAAAGGAAGTACATAGTAATGAAATAGCAATTGTGCAGAGTTAAAATGGTCTTTATTAAAAATTATGCACAGTTGAGAATGTTAATTGATAAATATAAAATTGAACATGCACATGTAAATTATAGATATATTTGACAGAAAAGAATAATTTAAGATAGTTTCTCAAACTGAAGAAATAAAAATTGAAAGGCAATGTGATATGTATATAAAGAAAAAAGTGGTACCTGACATTGAGGACTGAATTCATGTAACCAAGCCTTTTATAAACAGGTTTTTGAAAAGCCTAACTTTTCCTTTGAAACGAATTCCTGTTTATATTTGACGTGACTCTTTCTATAACATTATAAATGGCATCTCAGATAATCCTTTGCATTTGAGAAAGCACTAAATGGCTACAGAATGTATTATTTCCAGAGACTCAAATCTTGTACATAGACATCATGGCATGAGGAGCACGTTGTCATCTTACTTTTGGTACTGTAGCTAAATAGATGAATACTGAGACACTTGGACAACATTTGGGAATCTTTATTGTGAAACATTTTGCCAGCCAGTGGCTTCTTCAGTCCAATACAAAGAAGAATGGTGAAAGATGAGGAGTTTGAGGTAATCAATCTCTCAGCCTGGAGTCATTGTGTTCAGTCCATCTATCTTGAGAAATGTACATTTTTCATGATGGATGGACTGAACACATCAGTTCTAGGCTGAGGGACTGATTACTTCAAACTCCTCATCTTTCACCATTCTTCTCTGTACTGGGCTGAAGAAGCCACAATAAAGATACCCAAATGCTGCATAAGTGTCTCATTCTTCAACTTGTTGCTTTTCTAAATCATTTACATCATGATAAGTAAGACACATGCAACTTATCAACTTGGCAGTACATACTGCATACCAATATCATATTCACATTTACATCATAGCTAAATACATAACTTTAATATTTAACTACATTACTGCGAGGTAGTTGAATATAATTACTACATATAAATATATGCAACTAGGTAGTAGGTTGGTAGACAGCAACCGCCCAGGGAGGTACTACCGTCCTGCCAAGTGAGTGCAAAACGACAGCCTGTAATCGTTTTACATGATGGTAGGATTGCTGGTGTCCTTTTTTCTGTCTCATAAACATGCAAGATTTCAGGTACGTCTTGCTACTTCTACTTACACTTAGGTCACACTACACATACATGTACAAGCATATATATACATACCCCTTTGAGTTTTCTTCTATTTTCTTTCTAGTTCTTGTTCTTGTTTATTTCCTCTTACCTCCATGGGGAAGTGGAACAGAATTCTTCCTCTGTAAGCCATGCGTGTTGTAAGAGGCGACTAAAATGCCGGGAGCAAGGGGCTAGTAACCCTTCTCCTGTATATATTACTAAATGTAAAAGGAGAAACTTTCGTTTTTCTTTTTGGGCCACCCCACCTCGGTGGGATACGGCCAGTGTGTTAAAAGAAAGAAAGAAGTATATGCAAACAGTTATATTTAACTACAGTACCTACATAATTATTATATATCTAACTACCTTTATTACACTTAACCACGGGCTCACCACTGAAGCCAGGATAAAATTGCAGTCGTTTATTACTCCACACCTCGTTTAGGGGGTTGTCATTGGGAACTGATAGGCTTTAATTCAATGTTTTTTCAAGCTGTATCTTGCACATTACTTTCTGATACTGACATGATAAAACTTGCTAACATATTTGCTAAAATATTCCAAATCATCTCGTATGACAGATTTCCTATTAAGGTTTATGTACTGAAATATAGTTTACAGATAGGAGTCATTCAAGGAATGTTTTTTTTATTATTCTAATGAATAAGTGTACATTATAACATTTTTGAACACTGTAGTGTAGTTTGAGAAGTAGGTTAGAGTTATGGCAAACCAATCTAGCACAAAATGGATAACGAGTTGTGTACCTGATAATGTAGGTTAGGTTACCTGGTGCCTGTCTAGTCGCACTATTTTGTCAGAGCAGATATAGACCTATGAGGAGTTTTTTGTTGTATAACCTGTCTTAATAATGGAAACAAGAGTATACTGCTCAGATGGGCACAGTAGACAACTTTGAGGCCTACTGCCTTCAGTAGACAACTTTGAGGCCTACTGCCTTTCAGATAACTCTTACACTGTAAATGAAACTACCATGTAAGCTAACCTGAACAAGGAAATCTTCAGCATTTCATGTTTAATTTTTTTGCAAAATTACTGTATTAGTACTATATAGTATATGGGGCACTGGTATTATTATTAAGGTAATTGTTGAATCCACCCTGTAGGACTTTCTTTTTCCATGTAACTGCATCCTATTTCCATGAAATTGCATCCTATCATTGTACAGGTATCTGCTAACATGGTTGTATAATTTTTATATGGGAAAACATTGGAACATATTAATGAAAGCAGCTGTTGTATGTAACCCAAGACCTCAAGGTAATGTAATTGATAACCTTGTCCTACAGGGCCTAAACATGAAAGTGTTCTCCACATCCTTTCCTTTTACAGCCTGTAGAGAGGACATAGGGCATTACCCATCACTGACATCAAATTAACAGTCTACCTAAATTAAAAAAAAAAACATATGTTAAGTTTTGATTGGGAATGTTTTACCTAGATATATCATATGATAGCTTACTTTGTTTTGTTGAAAGAAATGTTAATATTTTATTTCTAAATGTGCTGAACTTAGAAATATATCCAGTACTGTAGATGTTATTAATCTCGTATATAAAGTTTTTATGTTAAAGGAAAATGTGTTCTTTGTCAGCCCTATCTCCTCTAAGCATGATGTATACTATATACATGTAACATATCTTTGCTGCATGCCATTTTCAAAGGTTTGTGGTAATTTGAAACCCAGCGTGATGACAAGGTTCTCACTAACTCGTGGTCATTTCCATGCATCCTCCCTTGCACGTGATGAAGAGATAACTATGTGTTGATTTTACCGTGATTAATGTCAAGATGCTTGCTGCTGATTATGTGGTGCTGAATGAGTTTGATTTTGTGTGAGTGAACCCACGATATGTGGGATGTGAGTGAATGAAGTATCCCTCTCCAGACAATTATCAGTTTTAATCTGGAATCTAAAGAATTGGACCCGGAAAGTCACTCGCTTTACTCTTCCAGCCTCACATGTTTACTGTTAGTCAGTTGCAGATCAATCATCTGTGATATGAATTCAGGTTTTACAGGTTTAATATATGTCCATATTAAAAAATTATAAAAAATACAAAATAAAAAGTAAAAATCTAAAAAAAAAGGGACAAAATGATAATACTTCAAGCAGAAGACAAAACAGTGGTGAAGTGACAAAATCAGTAGCTTTTGATGTTGTGTTGCGAAATGACCACATTTTTAAGTGTAAACTAAATACCATGGATATTTTAGGTGGTAAGCATGATATGTATCATCATAACACACATTTACTATATCCATTGAGTGAATATCAGCCTATTAAATAGCTGAAAGTTACATTAAGGATTACCACATATATATAATGTCTTACAAGAAGGCTCTGATTCTGTGGAAGCCTTTTGAATACTAGAATAAAAACTGTATGTGCTATCTTTTGACTTTTAAGAAAATTTGAATCCTTAAAAAAATTGTAGGTACAAAGTTGGTGCTGAATAGTTTCAATTTAGTGATGCCAAATTTAGTGATATCATTGGTAGGTTTCCTCTCTGCTATCAAATGATTTCATCCTCAAATTACAAACCCTGACTGAATGTTGTGGCTAAACAAACATGTCAGTCAAGAATAAAAGTTATACCCATCTTGGATCTGAATGTCACTAATATTTTCAATATGCTGCTGTTTCTATATTTTCCACACAATATCTACAATGCTATTTCTGAAATATGTGCTGTATATATAAACATTATTTTTGTATTGCTTTCACTTCTTCAGAGCCTCTTGAAAATTTAAATATCCAGTATATTAATAATAAAGTAGAACTGAACCAACAATGTTGGCTTGGCTTGGGTCATTTACGACCAATTAGTTGTTAACGTCTCAGTATTGTAAACGACTGATTCCTTTAACAGGATATTTTCTCTTCACAATGAGGTGATCACTATATGATATACAGAGGGTCTTGACTTACAAGTTGCAATCATCCACACTTACATACGAGGTCAAAAATGACAATATTGAGAAAAAATTAATGAATGGTGATTGAATTTACAAATGTTATCATTTCCTGTAGGATAACAAGTTCAGGGTTACAAACGACTGATTTGCAAGTTGAAGCACCGAGGATGCAACTTTTTCATAAGTCTGAGACCCCTTGTACTGTTGTTTTATAGCTATTATGAATAGAAATAAAAAATTTGTTATTTTTTGTTAACTTTGTGTGGTGACCTCAGCTTCCTCAGCTTCACTGCTCTCATCTCAAAGGCCCATGGTAGAATTAGCCTTTCCAAGTTATGATTTCACTTGTCAATTCAATTATGTTGTTTACACAGGGACAATAGTGCACATAATTTGTACATTATATTTCAATATGTAAATCAATTGATAAGTCACAATTCAGTGACTGGAACAATTCACAACTAACCCACTTTTTGGAGGAGAAACTTTAGAAGAATTTTCCATTCATCCTGGGCAATTATCAGTCTTAAATTATAATGGTCCAGGATGGACAAAAACATAGTCCAAAGTTTCCTCTCCAAACTTTTGGTTAACTGTGAAGTGATTTAGTATACAGTACAGTATTACATACACTTGTCTTTGTTTATCCATCAGGAGCTACATATTTTTCAAAATATAGGAATTTTACCCTCTGCAAAACTGATACAAAGCTACCGTTTTATAGATAATATGTAAAGTGCATCTTTCTATACTTTGGATGTCTTGTTTTTCCTGGAAATTTTCTGACCTTGACAAAGTAACCTCTTTAATGAATTTCCAAGACTTCCACTGCTCAGAAATGTTAAAATATTTTAGGGGCTTCTGAAATATTAAAAAAAAATAATAATAAAATAAAATAAACATCCCATGGTGGCTTGCTGTCACTGGTTAATCCAGTAGGCAATTATATGCTCCAAAATAATAGGCTGTGTGGAATCAGTATTCCACTTAGCATGAGTATGTATATGGAAGTGTAGATAAAATATAATTAGACATTAATACAGTATAGGATAAACAAAAGTAGTAGTAAAACAGCATTCAGTGAAAGAGCAAAGAGAATTTTAAACATTGTTTTAGATTTTTTTTTTTCTGAAACATGCTCATGATGGCAGCCCAGAAGCTCAAAAAGCATTTAATACTAATAATGTCTTAGGACAAGGGATTGAAAGATTAGCCAATTCCTGTACTTTCACATGATAGCCTAGAGTATTGCATAGCTCACTGGTGAAAGTATTTGACTTGACTGCATGCTCCCAGGTTTGATTCCTTGGCACAGAGAAACATATAGGCCAGTTTCCTTATACCCCTTATGCCTCTGCCCACCTAGCAGTAAAAATTAATACCTGTGTGTTAGCTGACTTATAGGTCTCATCCAGGGGGAAAAAAGAAAGCTTTAAAAAACTCTAGCCCTTCTGGAATGTTATATCTTGTGTAAGAAAACTGAAGAATCTGCTGGAAATATTAGAAAAACATGACAGCCAAAGCCTTCAACAACATAGGTGTTATTTTAATATCTTAGAACAAACAGATGAGAATTCAAGTTCACTGACATGTAATTTTTTTTAACAAATACACTACCTGTACATCAGTGAAGTGCTGTTCCTGAGACTTTCCTCTGACCAAAAAAAATTCTAAAGCCTGGCCAGTTTCTGTAGCTTCTTTTCAATCCACATTCTTAACTTCTAACTAATAATATGAGATTTAAGCATAGATTAAGACAACTGGCAACTAAGGATAAATGCTAGAATTTTTTGCTTAATTATTTATTGGCTCTTCAAGACAAGTAAATACTGTATAAAATACTGTTGACTGTTTTATTTCCATTATGCTGATGTACAAAAAAATGTAAAAGAAATTCTTATATAACAATTACCATAATGTGAAAAATTACTACTTTTAAGTTTCAAAATAAACATACATAATGAAAAAAATGAAAAATTGTTTTCATAACCTTTTCGGTGGCCATATCAATACTAATTTAATAAATTTTCTGTACTATTGCTTTGTTAATGAATGCACACTTCTTGTCATGGAGAAATTGTATTGTCTGATCTAACTGGTGCACCAGTGAGGAAAAAACAGGGTGGACTAGCAACAGGTCCCATGGAACAAGTCTCTTTGTGGAATATTGGTGCTATTAGAGCTTATTCAGAATTTACTCTGACATACCACAATGCTTTATTGACATACAACAATGCTCTCCTAATGACATACCACTGTTTCTCCTTATTACATATGCTTTTTTAGTGATATAGCTGTGGTACAAAGTAAGAGAGATTGGAGATTCCTCTATTAAAATACAGGGCATTTCTAATATGTTCATGGAAGGTGCCAAATCCATAAGGCTCATTTAGAACTATGTACACAACAAGGGTAAGGAAGACAATAAAGACGAGAGATGAAGGAACCAAGGAAAAATCAATTGCAAAATGAGGAAATAACATACAGTGAACATAATCAGTGTCAGTTAAGAAATCTTAGAGTTGGCATTAAAAGTAGGACTATAAGAAGATTGACAGAGTGAGCACATCAAGACATTGAAGGTGACTACAATAAAGTCAGCATGCTCTCACAAATAAGGCAATAAAAAAAAATGTTAGATTTTCAGCACAGCATAAAATGCTGAGTTACCCCTCTAGGGTACTGGATCTATGCTCTAATTCCCTGAATTAAGCCTGAATGCCTTCTATCTCCTCCCTACAGGTGCTGTATAATCCCTATGGCTTTAGTGCTCCCCAGGATATCAATATCTAAACTATTCAACTTCTTGAAGCTTTTTTTTTTTTTTTTTTTTTCACAGGGTTTGACAAGGTTAAGGATCCCTGGCTTTATTGACAAGCTATTTACAGGTGAAGGATTCCTAACTTTATTGACAAGCTAAAAGCTGTTACCTACATCAGCTCATTTGAAAGCATTTTTATTGTTATGAGACATACAAGTAGGGAACAGGATGAAGCTGGAGCCATCTGTGGGCCAGCATTTTCATTTGATCAACTGACTATCTTGCTGACATCATAATACTGTACGAATGTGTTCCAGACTCGAGTCATCCTGGGGATAAATGATCTCAGATGAAGTGATGTTCTGGAGAAGGGTACAGCCAAAGTGAAGTTGCTGCTTTCGGCCCATCTTGTGGTATAGAAGCTTGCTTCTCACTGTCCTCAAAGTGGATCCAAGTGTGGTACTTTAACAATACTGGCCTTGTACATAACAGTAAGGTCACCCACATCCCTCCTATGTTGAAGGCTCTGCTGAAATGACATATCTATCCAGGATGGGTCCAGGCAAGAGATGAGACATCTTGCTCTGTTCTCTACTCTGTCAAGCAGTCGCCGATGAAAGGGGGGCCAGGCAAACCAAGAAAGTGGAGCATACTCAAGGTGTGAGCGTACTTGTGCCTCTTACAGAATCTTCCAACCCCTACTGTCAAGCAGATGCGAGATACGGCAAAGTGCTGTAAACTTCCTGGCTGCCTTGTTTGCAAGATTTACAATGTGGTTCTTCATGGTCAGTTTGGAGTCAAATTTCACCCCAAGAATATCAACTTCTTCCCCAGGTGCCAACACCCTCCCATTAATCCTTACTACTGCACTGGCATTACCATCATGGTGCCTAGAGACCATCATCATTTGTGTTTTCTCAGGTGCAAATGTTACTTTGCCATCTATTTCCCCAAGCTGATATAGCTCTTAGCTGGTTATTGATGTAGCTTTGAGCAGCTGGTATTTCTTCTCTTGGATAAGTGAATGTCAGTGTACAGTCGTCTGCATATACACAGGATTCTGAGATGAGATGAAGAAGGTCATTGAAGTAGATATTCCATAACAATGGTCCCAGCACGCTTCCTCGTGGAACACTTGCCCCAATAGGATGTCTTGCTGATTCCGTTCCATTAAGAACTACCCTTAGAGATCTACCATGAAGGTAATCACTGAGGAGACATAGCTTAGAGCCTGCAATTCCCAGAGCTTGCAGTTTTGCTAAGAGGCCCTGGTGCCACACCTGGTCGAAAGCAACAGCAATGTCCAGTGCTACCATACAGCTGACTTTGGATTCATCCAGTGACTGGTGTCACTTAGTGGAGAGGTTGAACAACAGGTCAGCAGTAATGAGTAGTAGTCAAAAAACTCTGTCATTTGTCTTGAGATTATTGTCTCAAGGATCTTGCCAGTCTATAGTTGCTGATTTCTGCTATGCTCTCTTTTTTTTTTTTGTGAACAGGGACTGCATTTGCCTCTTTCCACAGAGAAGGCCATTTACACTGTACTAGGCAGCGCTGAAGATGTGAGTTAGATGTGCTGCTAGCTGGTCTGCACATCTCAGCAATCTTGGGCTCAACTTGTCTGGGCCCACAGCCTTCTCTTGGTCAAGTGATTTAAGAAGGAAAATGCACCCCCTCCTGCCTTATTGTCACCACTGACAGTTTTGACACAGTTCTTGCAGCTAGCCTAGGAGGGTCCCTTGCTAGATCAGGAACTTGCATTTTGGTAGCAAAGTTGTGGAAACTTATTCGGTCCTAAAGTTCCACAAAGCAGATACGTCGTATGAAGGCCCTATATTCCACGGAAAGGCCATCTGAGTTCTGCTGGCCCTCACAGCCACCCCAAAACACATACATACACCCGGGTTGGCGAAGGTGGTTGGAAGGTACATTATAATTAATAGATTTACCCTTCGAGGAAGAGGTAGGTAGTTTATACTGTTAGTGAACTAATATTAGGACTATTGAGGCAACTGTAGATAATAATAATGTAGACCTAAGACCTTAACGTAGGTAGTAAAAGGCCGGTAATGTAGGCAAACACTCGGTTATATTAGCCAGGGAGAACTGGCAGCCCAAGTTTGAATGCTGGGGCACGGGGTTTTGAGACCGCAGTGCCTCCTTCTAAGATCAGACACCATCAGAACAACAAGTGCCGTGAACAGCAGGGCGGCGACCCGACATGTCTTCACATACTAGACCTGAGGAAAGCTGGTAGAGGCACCTCGAAGTACCGTAGATGACCTCCTCCGTCAGGCCCATAAAGTAAGACAAGACCTCCCTTTCTTTCTCAGTATTCTGGCCAGTTTCTGGGGTAAATTGCGAGCGAGTTGAGCTGTGGGCCTTCGTGCAAGCAGACGGCCAACGATCGGTACACGCCGGCGTCCTCATGGTTAAGCTTAGAAGCTAGTGTCACTTCCTGCATAGTTGTACTAGGGGATACACACCCCCTTGGAAACAGGAATTTCTGAGGTGCAGGCAGGTCTCTAATACCGACTGAATATTGCAGGAATTAAGGCTCCCAGTTGCACGTGGCTCTGAGGGGAAGTTCAGAGGGGCTAAAGCTTAGGAAGGTTGAAGACCGGGATATATTCTCAAACACCAAGTAAGTTAGTCCTTTATACATGCATGCAGGCGAGATTTCTTGCAACATCAGTCATTTATGGAAATCTGTCCTATAAGCCACTTGTGAGGCTGAGGTACCGACCTCAGAGCTCGGTGTCAACAGAGCTTGCTAGGGTAGACAACTCACATGGAGGCAGTCCAGACAAATTTTCACAAAAGTGTTCGGCAAGGAGGTCTGCTTTCTCTTGACTACTAGAAGAGGTGGTTCAAGCATGTCGATTTAGAGGTGGAATGAGTTCACCAGGCAGATAACCTTGTCTGTCCTTGACCAGGGACCACCAGGTTTTGGAGCCTACTCTACCTGATGCATGCTTTCTTTTTGTGTCCTCCCATTTAGCGATGGCCCACTTTTGAACGTCACCCATATGCCTACAGGCTTGCCTGTGCAAGTTCCTGTTATAGGTGGTAGGATGTCTCTTATACCTTCGCCATACCTTGTACTGAGCAGTAGCAGTCTCTCTACAATGAAAGCCAAACCAAGGCTGATCTGTAGGCTTCGTCACATATTGCCGGTGAGGAATGTGTTCTTGTTGTAAATTAAGGATGTGTCCAGTGAAGGCTTTCATTTGGTTGTCAACATCCCCTTGGAGATGAGCATTCCAATCGGTGGTGGCGAGCTCAGAGTAAAGGGCTGGCCAATTACCTCTTTCCCATAGCCAGGTTGTGCGTGTGGACTCCTCACCTCGTTCTGTTGGGATCTTAAGTGTCGTAAAAACAACCTTGTGGTCAGATGATCCAATATAGCCAAGGGGTTGACAAGTGACTATACCTTTGCCAGATCACTCACTACTGGGTCAAAGGAGGAGCCAGTATTATTATTATAATCAAGGGGGAAGCGCTAAACCCATAGGATTATACAGCAGGAGGAGCCAGAGATGTGAGTAGGGAAATCAACAAATCAGTTTCTCATGTCAAATACTGCAAGAAGGTCATCAAAGTCCCTCTGTATAAGGTGTTGGTTGAGGTCACCAACAATTATGATATGTTGACAGTTATGTTGTAGCAGACGGGAGTCCACATTTTCCATTAGGAAGTTGATGGGGTCTGCATGTTGCCACTGAGGTCTGTACATTGCACATGCTAGTACAGAGGTACTAGTGTTTATGCATAGCTTGAAGGACATCATTTCAATATGAGTAGGGATGGCAACATCAATGTGCTGGGCATGTACACTTTTCAAGAAGCACACAGCAACACCTCCTCCTTGCCCTTGCCTGTCTCTTCTCATCCGTGAGGTGTAGCCACCAATCATTGCAAAATTTTCTGGAGTCCTGTCATCCAAAAATGTTCCAACAATAGATATCAAGTCGGGACGTCGAGTGTTCACAAAACTGTGTCAACTCTCCAACATTAGTAATGAAACCTCTATTGTTGGCTGACAGGATGCTGATAGACTGGCTCCTCATGATGTGGTCAGCTTGAGGTTGTGGGTGTGTAAGGCATGTAAGGTGCCTGCCCTTGAGAGAGGTAGGGCACCAAGGCAGCTGAAGAGATGTAGGTTTATGGTCTTGTATAAGGCACAGTACCATCTGCTGGGCTGAGACAGGGGTAG